CATATTCTTTTGGTAATTTACCTATAACATAATGGTATTTAGATTAATATACAAAGAAAAACCAAGTGTATTGATTTTGATATGTATCTACAAATTAGTCTGGTGTGGAATGAAAATAATTTCCCTACTCCTTATAATGTGTGTAAGTGGGGAAAATTATTTTTACAATATTCTAAGTAGGTAAACTAAAATGTAAATCAATTTACTAATATTCCATGAAAAAATATTAATGAAATACTTAGTAACATAAAATATTATATTAATTTACCTATATTTATCAAAGATAATAATAGATAAGTTTTTTTGTAAGAGATAAATAGATGTTGAAGACCAAGAGTAATATACAATATACACATGGTAGGTAGGGGAGGGTATTAAAGGTTCGGGGTGGGTCCTGTTTTTTAATAGGGGAAACGGGGCAGGGCGGGGCGGGCCGGGGCAATGACATTTTAGGGTCGGGCCAGTTCTAGATGTATAGAAAAACAGGGCCCCGGACCGGCCCGTTTGTAATTGAAATGGACAGCCCAAATTGAAAATAAACATACCTTCCAATCATGACCATTGGTTTTTACCCTAGTATCTCTGAATCTGATCGAGTATTTCTCAAAGCTCACTCCACGCCTGTCCCTCGACTCCAACTCTCAGTCGTTTCTCCTTCGTCGTCCGTCCCTCGACCACCCATCCTCCCATCCTAGGTCTCCTCGAGCTCGACTTTGTCACTGGAGTCCCTCCCCAAACCTAACCAACCATGTCGAAGCTTGTCGGTGTCCTCGCTTTCCTAACCCTAACCCTCCCATTTTTGGCCCACTCCTTCTCGCCGGACCACGCCACTGACCACCGCGTTCTCGTTCTACTTGACGACTTCACCGTCAAATCTTCCCATTCCACGTTATTCCGGATGGTCTCGACCTTATGGGATTCGCACCAGTCAACGTTGGGGTGGCCAGAGACGCCATCGGCGTTGAAGATGTGGGTGAGATTTGAAATCAGACATCGTGACCCAAGAGATGTGGTCCACCGACTCGGTTGCGATTTGCGACTCATCTTCCGACTCGGAATCTTGAGCTTCTCGACGTTGGTGGTTTGGGAATGAGGAAGTGCTGCATGGCGGACTGTAAGTCCCTAACGGATTTGAAGGTGACGGAGACGGAGATTTGAAGGCGACGGTGGCAGTTTCGTAAAAAACAAAAACAAAAAACCAAGGACCCGTGGACCCGTGGACCCATCCCAAACTGGCCCGTTTCAACGTGGTCGGGTTAGGTCCGGTTCCTATATAAGAATGTGCTATCACTGGCCTGACCCAGCCCGTTTCTTTTGCACCTAGGTCCGGTCCGGTCCCTTCAAAATTGGGCCCGGCTTGGCCCGTGCCCACCCCTAATGGTAGGTAGTTAGTCTTCCTAATATTAGCTTAAATTTTAAGCTGACCAATAACATTAATTCCCCTCTTTTATTTTTTTATTTTTTCCAGAATCATTAATTCCCCTTTTCTTTTTTTCCTTTTTCTTTTTGTCTAGATCATGAATTTCCCTTTTCAATTTGCATAGTTTGAAAAATATTTCATGATATTAATTGGAAAATTACGCATAGAGCATACTTTTAATACTTAATTTTATATTGAGACAACACTTTTTAAACATTTCAAGGATAGACAAACAATAATAAATGTGAAAGATGACATCATTTGTTTTGTTTTCTTTGGAGTTTAATTTATGAAAATACCCTTTATTTTTGGTATCTTTTCACACTTCTGTCTACAGCATTGGAGTTGTTTATGCCACCTAGGCGCCTTGTTTCTTGCGATTCAAAGAGATGATGTAGTATGTGCAGGTTGGGTATCTATACCTTTTAGTTGTAAGAATGAGCTTCCCATCATTAGTTGAGGCTAACTAGTACAAAAGCTAAAACAATTATATTTACACTTGGAAAAGAGACTTTAAAAAACCTATTTCAAATTGATTTGTTTCATCAAGCACATCAAATATGTTCTCAAACTTTTTAAAATGATAAAAAAAATTGATCCAAAAAACAAAAGACCAAATTACAAAACAAGCGTCAATCTGATATCCTTATACATTTGGACATAGTTCGATGAACTCTCAAATGATTGAACACATGATGGAGCCTACACAAGAGAAATTAAATTAATACACAGTGATTAATTTGATTTGAAGGAGGATGTTAATTAACTTTGAACTTAATTTGATTGATTAAAAAGTAAATTCTTTGGAACTTACAAATACTGAGTAAGAATCAATCTAACCCAACCCAAACTAGGCTTCCCCATTTACTAATTCTTCTAAAACTATACAAATTGGTTCTATTATAAAATATATAAAACCGGTTCAATTTTGTGCTCCACAATGCTCTCGATTTTTCCGTAACCCTCACCTCCCTCGCATGAGTAAGAAAGTTGCATATTTAAAAAAAAAAATATTAAAGTCAAATAAGTTGCATATTTTTTTTAAAAGTAAAAAAAGTATACAAAACAGATTTTATATGTATTTGAAATTAATTATGCAAAAAAGGTCGAAGACGGTATAAACTGATTCTGCAAAAATGGTTGAAGGCGGGTTGAACTGATTCTACAAATGGTTGAGGACGGGTTAAACTAATTCTGCAAATGGTCGAGGATGAGTTGAACTGATTTTGCAAAAATGGTCGAAGATGGGTTGAACTGATTTTGCAAAAACAGTCGAGGACAGATTAAACTGATTCTACAAAAATGATCGAAGACGAATTGAACTGATTCTACAAATGGTCGAGGAAGGGTTGAATTGATTCTGTAAAAATAGTTAAGGACAGGTTGAACTAATTATGCAAAAAGAGATCAAGGACGGGTTGAACTGATTATGCAAAAATGGTCGAAGACAGGTTGAACTAATTCTATAAATGGTCGAGGATGAGTTGAACTAATTCTACAAAAATAGTCGAGGACGAGTTGAAATGATATAGCAAAAACGATCTAGGACGGGTTGAACTGATTCTACAAAAATGGTCGAAGACAGGTTGTACTGATTCTACAAATGGTCGAGAATAGGTTGAACTGATTTTGCAAAAATGGTCGAAGATTGGTTGAATTGATTCTGCAAAAATAGTCAAGGATTGATTGAATTGATTATAGTAATAAATGATACAAACTTATTCTACATATAGTTCAAAATTGATTATGCAGAAATAGTCGAATATAGGTTGAGCTTATGACACATATTAATTTTGTTGGAGTTGTGAGAGCTGGGTTCTATTAAAAGCCTAAAATCTTAGGGGTATGATTGGTATTTTAAAATATTGTTTTCATGTTTTTGGGTTGTGCTTTAATTGTTTTATGCTTTTGTCTCTCATTGACATGTTTAAAAACTAGTGGTGTTTATTGAAATACAGTAACAGTTTTTGTCTCTATATATAAAGCTCCCATATTAATTTACATAATATCCATATAATGAATTGTAGATAACAAATAAGTAATCAGGGGTATTTTAGGTTTTTTATTTATTTTTTTAGTACATTAGTATTTTTATACTAGGAGGAGGGGGAATTCGGCTAAGTCACATAATAAGTAGCTTAATTTGATATTGAATTCGCCATCCACGTGATTCGAACTTAATTTGGTATTTTGGGTTTTATACAGATAAAAAAAATTATGTCGAGTTTGATATAAAGAAACTTGAGTTTTGGTGACTATAGTCATTTTTTTGTTTGTTAAAAATACAACACTTGATGGAGAGGATCTAGCAAACACAATGATGGAGGAAGGATGGTTCAATGATTTGAACTGGGATCCTAGGGAAAGGCAATCCGCGGCCAGTTCCCCGTTACAATTTTTGATCAATGATGGGTTATCATAACTTGCTCACTATAGAACTAATTAATAATGGTTACTTAAGTGTTATAATCAGTTGTTCACAGACTAATCAGATTACGATTTTCTAGCCTTTATAGTCCCCAGGCTCTGTAAGTCCCTTAACGAATCTACTCTTATTACCATATCCTAAAAGCTAAACAAATGCAAAAACATACACGATTGTTTACAACATAATTCCAGTTTCATGGTGACAGAAGCCAAGACAATTAAGTTACGGCATGTTGATATTGAAATTGTTTTAAATTAAGTATACATTATCGTACAAAACTAACTTAAACACGCGAATACTAAAATTATTTATACAATTCATTTATTGCTTTTTATTCCTAAATTTCTACTGACAACGCATTATAGATTATTCATGTACTTTGTTGTTTTTTACTACTCATGTCGATGTATTGATCAATTACCTTTTGGTGTTTCATTGATTTATATTACCACAATTTATAAAAAAAATTAAATGAAAAAATGGAGTAAACTGCCAATTTTTCTTCTAAACTTTCACTTAGCTTTCGATTTCACCATAAACTTTTTAATTGAAAAATTGAAGGCTTAAACTAATTTTGTTGGCCGATTTCCCCTACCATTAGTTTTTCAAGATTTTATCCAAATTAACGTTAACTCTTATCATGTGTACACCACGTGGCACTCATTTGATGAAAAAAGCGTGACTTTGCTAGACCTTCAGACACAAAAACTTTAGAATCACACAGATTTGCAGAGGTCGATATTTTTGAAATCTAGGATTTTCAATTATTTTAAAGAATGAAACGACCGAACTACCTTTACATGTTGTGCACATATTTTCATTTAAGAGAAATTTAGATGAAATGAATGAAAAACTAACAAGAGGGGAAAATCGACAAAAAAAAAGGAAAAAATTGAGTGCTTAATTTTCCAATTAAAAAATTTAAGAAGAAACAAAAAATTAAGTAAAAGTTGAAAAAAGAAATTTGCAGTTTAGTGAAAGAAATAAAAAAGGATCATATGCTGTTCACAGCGAACAAACCCACCTTCTGAAAACGACAAATCGCTTGCCGTTAATTAAATTTGCGAACCCCCACCATACTTCCAACTGCCCCCCGTACATGTGCACTAAATTCTCTGTCATTTTCCCTTCCATTCGACTCCAAATAAAAATTAATTAAATTAATCCAAAAAATTAGAAAAAACAATTACCCACCACCTCTCGGCGTTGCTTCTCCCACACTCACCCTCTCCCTCTCACTCCCACCAAAACCTAACCCCCAAATCTAACCCCCACCGCTGTAATTACATATTTAATTGCATCGCCTTCCTGCAATTTGCAGTAATTTATCGCCGGAAATTAATTCTGTTTGAAATGGAGCTGGAGCAGCACCGCCCTGCCATGACCTTTGACGAGGTCTCCATGGAGCGCAGCAAGAGCTTCGTCAAGGCCCTGCAGGTTCGATAGTCGTTGCATCTGAGAGAGAGAGAGATTTTGGGATTGGATCTGATGTTGATTTCGTTTTTGATTGATTGGTTTGTTGTTTTTGGTGCATTTTATGAATTGGTTGATTGGATTTACGAATTGATTGAATTTGTGGGGTCCTATTTAATGAGAGTTTAAGATCCAGAATCTTGTTACTGTCTGCATAGTTTAGCTTGAGAGTTGAATCTGTTGGGTGTTTATGGTTTCGAGAATAATGATTAGCAATGAATTTTGGGCTGTTAATGCCAAGCGTTAGTTAAGGCTGTTGAGCTTCTTTATGGTAGCTACTTACTGTTGCATTGGCAATGCTCTTTTGTATTGCTAATGATTGAAATCGTATGCATTAGCTGGGAATCGTGGTTAGGTTTCGGGTATGTTAGAAATGAATGAAGAGTTCTAAATGGTTAAAAAAAAACAGGAACTTTAACGAAAAGCTCCCGGTATTGTTCACTTTAACGAAAAACCACATTTTTACACTAAAAAGTCAATCCTGGTTCTATTCACTTTACCCTTTATTTTGTCGTTATTGTTAAAACTCAAAAGTTTTCAAGCCATTTTCATTAATTTTCCTTAAAAATATGGTATGTTTGCATTTTTTTTAAGAATATCGTGTATTTATTTAAATTCTACGAAGTGCCACCACGTAGCTGTACTGGGTTATGTAGACCAATGGGCAATGGATGTAGCTTGAAGCCTTCTCTTGTTCCTACTTCCTAGTGTTTTTGTTAAGAACTTAGTTTGAAATGATGCGGTTATGCGGATTGAAGAGAAAAATAGGGCATTTTATAATGGTTGGGTTCTCATAGTCTGTTTGCTATGTTTATCTCAGGAACTCAAGAACTTGAGGCCTCAGCTTTATTCTGCTGCGGAATACTGCGAAAAGTCCTATCTTCATAGTGAACAGAAACAAATGTAAGGATCTTTGTTTTAATCGTTTGGAGGAAATGCTGGTAATAATGCTGTATAAAATTGCATGTGCAAGTTTCGGAGAATGGGCGTGATGCTCCAGCATGTCATACATATCTGGATGCTTTTATCATAACTTGTCTGACTCTTGGTTCAACCGGGATTTTCTTTGCTCCATTTCTCTCTGACATTGATTATAAAATTATGCATCAGGGTATTGGATAACCTGAAAGATTATGCTGTACGGGCCCTTGTTAATGCCGTTGATCACCTTGGCACTGTGGCTTACAAGTTAACTGACCTTCTTGATCAGCAAACCTCAGATGTCTCAACCATGGATCTGAAAGTTACTTGCCTAAATCAGGTGAGGTTTCCAATTTCTTTATGTTAGAATAGAAAGGGTATCAATAGATATATCTTAGCTTAACAAACTTCATTTCTTATTCTAGAAACTTCTTACATGCAAAACATACATGGATAAAGAAGGGTCCAGGCAGCAGCAGTTGTTGGCATTCATCCCGAGACATCACAAGCACTACATTTTACCAAGTAAGCCCAAGTACTGTCAACTTCTTGTTAGAGTTGCCCTGTTTGTGATGAGAATTTTACATTTATTTCCATTTCTCTTCTTGCTAGATTCCGTCAATAAGAAGGTACATTTTAGTCCACATGTTCAGACTGACACTAGGCAACATCCTTATCAAGCAAGAGCACATCTTCAGCCTTCAAGTATGTCACTTTCCTTTGGATGCTTACTTCTAACCGTCTAAGTCCAGTTTTCACTGGGCGAGTAAGCTTGTTTTTAACATTGGACAAGTAATGAGTTTGGTGTTTCCACAATGTGTAACGTTTAGGCGCTGCTGCATCAAAAACTCTTTCTTGGCATTTAGCTTCAGAAACAAAGTCAACCTTGAAGGGGACTCCACAGGTCCGGACTAGGTAATTCCTAAGAGAAACAAGAATCTTGCATATGGTTTCACTGTGCTTGGCAAAAAATTTGTTTTTGTTGGTGTATCTATTGCGCCTGATACTTCTAAGAAAATGAAACATTTATTTTCCTTTGTGCAGCACTGGAGACACAAAAATTTCTGTAAACACTGCTGGTGTTTTCCAGCTTGTAGGTAAGTAGAATTGGGAAGTTACATCATCATAACACCTAGCTGTGAATAGATGCTTTGCTAGAGAAACGGTAGTTCCTTATGCTTTGACTAATATGAATGCAGAAAATGAAGGGAGTACCCCTAAATCCTCGGCAACGCAGCTTCAGCAACCAAGTGGATTTCCTGCTGCTGGACACAAGGTAGAGTGATCTTGTCCTCCAAGTTCTGATCTCCGTATTACAGAAGATGGAAAATTTGAGAGGTGATTAGAAGTTATTTTCCTTGCAGGAAGCGGTAGATGGTTCCAGACCAATGACGGCGTTCAGGTCATTTGAAAACCCAAGACGGGAGATAGTGCGCGTCCCTGTTCGCAGCAAAAGCGTGCTATCAGCGTTCTTTGCCAAACAGAAATCGAATAAGCTGAAGGCTGGATCTGTCTCGTGAGGCCTCATTATAACAAGTCAAGGATGCCAATATCAGTACACCCACAGTATGTGGGTCAATATGCCTGTAAATCCGTCCTTTGCATTTTGATTTCAAGCTTTTTCCCTTCGTCCTTAGGTTATCAATTGCTTGAAATCAAATTCTTTTTTCCCGCTCGAAGTCTTTCCCCGGGCTGCTTAATAACGAGCAAATTGTGCACAGAAGTCCTGTAATGAAGTGGTCGGGGAAATATGTAGCTGCACAATGTTGCACATGATGAATAATTCAGTTTCTGGTATGTCGCTGAATTTCAATGTCGATGCATCTTCTGAATTATCGGCTTTCAGGCACCCACAAGCACTACTAATCATTTTTGGTAATAAGGAAAATTCTAATATGCACACCGGGGATGCTGGGGGTTAAGTAAAGTCTTAATACACAGGTTTCTTCCATCGTACATGCTGCTAATAGTTTGAAAAATCAACGGTTAAATCTTGCATATAATGTTGTAATTGATCTTTCCAACAGTTAGATTTTGCATAAAATCCATTGAACGTGATGTAGCATTGTAGTCGGACTCCTAGGTGCAATTATTTGTAATCACATCCACCAAAAAATGATAGTCCATTTACAAAATCATTGCTATTTGTAATCGAGTACCACTTGAGGTCAGATCAGCTCTTTTTTAGGAAATTGGTTATTCGTTTTTTTTTTTTAGCGAAAAACACTTTACTAACTAGTTTCCAAAAAAACAAAAAAAAGACACTTTACTAACACCACGACTATTACTGCCAACTGCAATAACAACTATAATCCATACTTTTGTATTAGATGTTATACAAATGATGTAATCGAATCGGCCGCTTTTGCCAAAGTTTCTCTTTCATTCACAAACCCACTTAGAATTGTTTTTTTTTTCTTTCTTTAAAGCTATGTTTTAAAGTAATTTTACCAAGAAATGTAGTTTCAACGGACTCATATGTAAAGGGTGGTGCTTTCTACACAATATTTTTTTTACTTTCTACACACTATTTTTTTCCTTCTACACATTTTTTTTGCTGTCAAATTAAATGACTAAAGAAATCAAAATACAAGAATTAACAAGAAGTGTAGATAAAAAAAAGAGATGTGGTCTCCTTCCTTCCCCAACCTGACTGATGGGCGAAATTAAAGAAACCACTTGTGGTTAGATTAGCAGGATTAAAAACACCGACGACGACAGATCCGCACCTCTAAATCCAAAGCGACATTTTCATATTGTGAGGCAAGTTCACATTTCCTTCTTAGTAAGATAACTAGAATTTGTACCCGCACGTTGCTGCAAGATTGAAAATTATATGAAAGATTATGCAACTGCAATCTTCATGAACAATGTTCGAGTCCAAAACTAAGTTACAAATGCGAATGCAATTTATACACAACCTCATCATGAATGAAACAAATTTAAATATCTAAAGAGAATTCTATTTCTTCAAAGCAGAAAGGGCAAAATAATTGTTTACTTAAAAAGTTGGAGTAACGATAAGTGCATCAATTAGAAATGTAATATTGAGGGAATACCTGCCAAATAAAGCTTACTACATTCTTAGGCTTTTCATGTGCTACATGCAACGAACGTAAAGCTTGGATACCGGACTTGCTCCTAGTTTGAGTTGTATCCAAAGAAGGGAAAACTAACATTATTTTGCAATAAATTGCATAAAGTGCCTTGCACAGCTCCCCATGCTTCAGAAGAAACGATGATAAAACCATAAGACAAATCAAAAGGTGACAGTGATAAAAAATAAAAAATGCACAATAACTTCAAAATTGAGTTTTGGAGAGAGAGAAAGAGCAGAGAGAGGTTGTAAACAAAGACCAAATACATAAGACTTTCAGTTTACATGCATCCCAAATTAGGGTTTCAACATCACAATAATTCTGGAAATTTAGGTTCCAACATCCCATAAATAATTAAACGAAAAAAAAATTAAGAGAGAGAAGGAGGAATAATGCATACCAAGGAAGAGAAAAAGCTGGAACGGATCGAGATGTTTGATGTTTGGGGATTGAAGTAAATTGGTATCTGGGTCTGTTTTTTTTTTTCTTGAAGTTTAAGTAATTTGTATGCACCATCCATTTGTATTTATAGTAATTACCAACACAAATCTCAATCACCTTACAATTTATCACTACATACATATAGTTCATACAAAATTGCAGAAATATATTAAACGAACAAATTAAGAGAGAGGGAGAAATAATGCATACCTAGGAAGAGAAAAAGCTGGAACCGACCCTGCCATGGTATATAGGCATCTCAATTTTCAATACCAATTACCTTTCTCAAATCTAAACGTCTCTCTCTAGTCCTCCCTTCCGTCCCAAAGTCCTCTCACCAGCACATCACATAGTAACACGAAATCAAGTTATTCATGATTACTCAAATCCCAAGTTGGGTGAGTGACTATAAATTCTCGAGGCATCTAGTGACCAAGAGAACGACGCTCGCTCTTACCTTCAAAAATAGCCATGTTAGGTTATTGTAAAAATTATGATCCACTTTTATCATATTTATTAAACTCTAAATAAAAGATTATGAAACATTTTGTTATTTACATGTAACAACATGCAGGAAAAACATAGGTTTTCATATTCCAAGAGAAAAATAAGTTGAGGAAAAACCTCAACACCTAAAATTATTATAATGGTGGCTGCTCAATATAGCATCTGATCGTCTCAAGGACCTCTTTGAAACCGCTGTGGAAACATGTGGTTGAGAATCTAGATGACAGCCTAGAACAACATTGTATCTTCTGATATTCATAAAAACCTTTGTCAGCTTTAAAAAAATCTAACTATTTTTTGAATCACCAGCTACCATTCTTTAAAATCAGTTTCCTGGAAACAAAGATCATTCAAATGTCACTATTATTAAACCTATTAGCAAGAACAAAGATTCTTAACTTCCTATTTCCATATAGAATTTAAGGCGGAAAGAAAAACAAAGTTATGCAAGTATAGAGGTGCAGTTGATTTTAAGTTGTCAATGGAAGAAAATACCTGGAGTTGGAGATAAACTTGGTGAAAGTAGAAATCTTCAACCTGCAAACAAATTGATCATGGTTTTTGTCACAGAATGTCCTTTCATCAGAGAAAATTATAGCAAAACTTTTAAAACTAAACAAAATTGTGTGAAATGATTAGGAAAGCAGAATTTTTCTAGACTATGCAGAGAATAAAATTTAAATTTTAAAAAAAAAATGTGAGTTCAAATTTAAATATTCTAATACATTGATATGTACAAATTTTTACAAAATTAATGTAAAAATTACCTTTTACTGGAGACCACAACCTCAAGATCCGCTACTAAACCCAGAAATTTAATCACAAAGAATTCTGCAAAAGCTAAAATTTTTTACTAAACTAACATAAAACCAAACCCAGAAATATAAGGGCACAACTACAAACCCGCCAATTTAATGAAGAATTCTCCAAAACCCAGAACCCTATGCCAAATGAAATGATCAAAGCATGGAAAGTAGACTCGAGAAATCCAATCGTCAAAAGCCATCAGAGGAAAGGTTGAAATATAGCTATAAAACAGGTCCAACCAAGTAAAGTAATTCACTTGGTTATTAAACGTAAAATTCTACAAAATCACTAAAAACTTGCTAAAATTAAAGTATATTAAATCACAGATTTGAAGCTGATTTTGACATGCAATAGAGCTAAAAGTACCTGAGGTGATGAGGTATGGTTTGACATCTTCTTCTTTCTTCACCTCTTTCTAAGTTGCTCTTTGCATAAACTACAGTAATTAAAAAAATAACACGATTACGTTATATTAATCTGTAAATACAATTATAGGTCCACCAGAAAATTATATAACTCAAAATTAAAAAACACCAAGATGAATTAAAGCAAAACCTAGATTAGATTCTAAGAGGGTTTATCAAAAATAATAATTTCATCAGAAATTAACACTGAAAATAAATAAAAAACCAAAAAAATTGAAATTTCTTCGTTTCTTTTTACCTTTTAAGTTCCTGAGAGTGCTGGAAAGCTCTCGCTTTGCCATATTAACTTTCTGGGCTTTTATTCCGGAATCTAATTGAGAACTAAAGGCCTTGCCGGAGTAGAAGAGAAAGCAACCTCTAGCAACAGAGAAAGCAGTGAAGGTTTTTTTAGCAAGAAAGTGCGGTTGGGTCGCAAGGTCGGAGAGGGAGAGAAGGCAGCTTTGGAGAGCGAAAGGAATCGAGGTTCAAGAGCGACAGAAGTAGGGAATTGTGAGAGAAAAGTGGAACGGAGGAAAAAGTCGAGAAGTAGTCGATGCAGAGCGATGAAATATGAAGAGCAAAGTCATATTTTTACTGTTAAAAAAGGAAAAAAAAGGGCAGATAACAAATAAATTGGAGGGCATTTTCGTCGGTTTACTGTTAATCAACAGTAATTTTGTGTTGAGTTTTAGTATATGTACTAGAAAGTTTTGCCTGCGCGTTGCTGCGGGATTAGAAATTGTGTGAAAAATGATCTTTAAAGGTATAAACACATCAACTTATATCACATCTAATTGAATTACTGTAACAACATATTGACGCACTAAATATGAAAATCCATAAACTATTCAACAATATGAAATCCAGCAATCTCTAAAGATGAGAAATGAATGTAGAAATTCAACAATCTCTAAAGATGAGAAATGATCGTAGAAATCCTACCCCATATTTATTAAAACAATTAACAAATTCTCAGTAAATAATCACAAAAGAGGTATAAAAAAGTAATTCAATTTCTTAATTTAAATTAGTTCTCACCATAACAAAAATAATGATATCGTTTTCACATTAACTTGGATTGATTTCGATCACCAGCATTAATAAAACCAGTGACTTCAACCTATGTAAGCAAACGACCGAATTAGATGCAAGCCAACCAACTTCGAATTTAACCACAACAACAACAACAACAAAGCCTTTTCCCACTAAGTGGGGTCGGCTATATGAATCCTAGAACGCCATTGCGCTCGGTTTTGTGTCATGTCCTCTGTTAGATCCAAGTACTCTAAGTCTTTTCTTAGGGTCTCTTCTAAAGTTTTCCTAGGTCTTCCTCTACCCTTTCGGCCCTGAACCTCTGTCCCGTGGTCACATCTTCGAACCGGAACGTCAGTAGGCCTTCTTTGCACATGTCCAAACCACCGTAACCGATTTTCTCTCCTCTTTCCTTCAATTTCGGCTACTCCTACTTTACCTCGGATATCCTCATTCCTAATCTTATCATTTCTCGTGTGCCCACACATCCAACGAAGCATCCTCATCTCCACTACACCTACGTGTTGATGCTTCACCGCCCAA